ATAAACGACGAGAATACAAAAATCCAGAAGCCTTCTATGCTGGCTTTTGGAGATATATTACCGTAAACGTACTAAATATGTGGGGAATCGAGTTAGGGTAGGCTCACTGCGTACACACACAATAACTTCTGAACTAGCTTTGGTGGCTCCAAGATCTTTATTTCAGCAAATTTCTTTGGGGGGAGGGGGGAGGGGGGGGGGGTCTATTACATATTATTATATACTTTGCATTAATATGTCTTAAAATGTTATTTTCTAATATAAAGGTAACAATTATTTTCATGATAATTATATCTAGGTTTTTATTGGCGCTAGGAATATGTATGCTAACTTCATTTCGAATCCAAGTGCTGGAATACGGGTGAGAGATTCCGCTCGGTTACTATAAGATTCTTTAACCTTACCCAAAAAAAGGGTTTTAGAGACCTGTCAATTAAATAAGATATTCAATTTAATTTTTAACAAGAAATTGATTCAATTGAAATATCTGTTTTTTTACCAATGAGAACAAATAAGAATAGTCTCGTTAAGCCAGACTATTATCTTTCAGAATCCTCTAATCGTCGAACTGATTACAGTATAGAGCTTGGACGTTGAAGACTAACAAAATCGAGTACTGCCCCCTTCTAATGACCTCGGCCTTATGGATTTATCGCGTAAATCATTAATTTCCGTCATAGTCCGGATTTTTTTCCGTATGCAAATGACGTACGTCGTACATCCCATATAAGGTATATGTTCTACTATGCAAGGTTCTATTATATGCATTTGTCTATTATGCAAAATGCAGAATGCAGAAGTGTAATGTGCAAAATAACTTTTATATTGTATTTTGTATTATTGAAAAGTGTATTCTGTATTTTAACACCGTGACATTGGTATTGTTGAGCAATGGAAATTGTAAATTGTAAAACTAAAATACGTATTGTGAACTAGTGACATTTGCAGTTTGCACCGTGAACAATGAAATAATATTGGCAACGTTATCCTTCCATAGCACATTAGTATAATAACGCAACAAATGTTCGATAATTTGAAGAAAATTGAAATATTTACGCAGTTATCTCCCTTTAAAACCGATAAATATTGTTACAGATGTAAAATAAAGTGATCTATATGTCTGCTCAGTTTGGATAAGTTGACTCTTCGCATCAATGAGATATTAAGTACTGAAATTGGTGGTAAAAAACAAATGAAACTACAGATTTTTTACCATTTTCAAGACCGGAAAAGCCATCTCAGCATTTCCATGGGTGGATCAATCACTCTAACATTTTATATACGTATGTTTAGGCACTAGGTAAGCCAATAGACAAAAATGGATGAAATCCCAAACTTGAGCCTTATCACTTCCTGCATGGTCTTATTGCGGACACATCCTTAATTATGACTATTTTTCTGATTTTTCAATCCATGTACCCGAGTTAAAGGAATCTTCAATATTGGTATTCACTTTATTTTCAGTGTCTGTTTCTGTTTTTATTCTGTCACTTTGATCTGTCTGTACCATTGTATCATGGCTGGGGTCATCTTCAATATAAAATGATTCAATTACAAAATGAACTGTGGTAAGTTAGTAATTGACTACAAAAGTATTTCAAAATACCAGCGGAACTAGATTAAATACCAACGTTATTTAACAATGTATTGATCTGATTTCGTTTTCATTTGAACACTCAACAATTTGCAAAAAGGTATCTTTGACACTGCAATATGTAGAACAGGCCAGGGTTAATTGTGATGTCAGTGGAAATGAAATATAATCATTACACAGTTTGAAGTATTGGAAATCTAATGGATAATAGGACATTAATAAGTAATGAGTAACTGAAAGATTACATTTCAAATATTATTATGTAACGGTCAACTATATTTCAATCCTTTTATCGCAAATTTAAATATTATATATCTGATAAAGTCAAATATTATGTAATGGTCAACTACTCAATCTTTTTATTTCAAATTTGAATAATAACTATGTATATTTAATCCAGCAGATTAACAAAAATCACAAAATTTAAATCAGTTTTACGAATAAAAACGACGTTTTAGAATTTTGTTTTTATGTTAAACTTCACCTAAAACATGTAAGTTTAAACAATTACAAACAAAAATGAGGTTTTAAAATGTTGTTTTTAAATTAAACTCCATCTAAGACATGTAAGTTTAAACTGATATAGATTTTAATCAAATTCCGAATTTGGATAAACAAGAGAACGTTAACATTGAAAACTCAAAACAAATGAATGCATGACAACTCAGGCCAAATACCACTCAGACCAAAACCGGCCGGATCAGTTAATAGACCACTCGGACCAAGATAGAAGATCACTCGGACCAAGACCGTATATCACTTGTACCAAGGCAGAAGATCGCTCGGACCAAGATAGAAGACCGCTCGGACCAAGATAGAAGACCACTCCGACCAATGTTTTTGAAATAATACAGTGTTGTTTTAATAAATTGATAATAGTGTTTGTTTTAATATTAAAGTGTTATTTTAATAAATTGATATTTATGTTTGTTTTTCTACATTTGTTTTCTTTTTAACTTTCTTATCATCTCATCATGAAGCATAGAAAAAAATCTCAACGAGTCATCAATAACTGAATAGTTATTAATTCGTATACTTGTATTTCGGAAAAGACTATTCTTTGTGTGTACTATATTTATCATTTGTACCGCCTTTTATTGCAAGCTTGTCGTGGAATGCGTGTCAAAGTTCAGTTTACATTTTATCATTAAAATCGGTAGGGACTTTGAATAATCGTGCATGTCGTGTAAATATTTTCAATTAAATTCATCAACATATTATTCCGTTTTTAATAATATTGTACTTTTACCAGAATCTATGATTACCAAAGAACACAGGGCTGGATTAACCATTAAAGATACCTTCCCTGTACAAACTGTGTGATTTGATGATATATTTGGACTAAAAACATATTCAAACTAATTAATCTATCATAATTGTGCTTTAAATCCTTCTCAAAACATTGTATTCGCGAGAAAATACCCCAAGATTTAAAAATCTATTAAATTAAGTCATGTTGGTGTCACGTGACCTTGCATATACAAGACGATGTTGTCTTTAATTGCTGTCCATTTATCATAAATATTGAAGCCTAATTAAATTCTTGGATTATCCACTGTCCATCTCTTTTTCCGCGATTTTTATCTCAGAAAATGTTGTATGTTTAAGTTTCTCACTTTTTACTAGTCAGCTCACCATCAAGTTTATCAACATATACATCAAGCGCTCACTAACGCTGAGAGATCCGACAATCTTCGCGTTCAACCTTTGACGCCACCCGGGTTGCCTGTTAGGGAAACCCTTCTTTTTTTGTCCCGTATGCGCTCCATGGGTGTTTTTCAGGAAATCCAGTATTTTTCTAGTAAGATTGGATGTTTCTACTTTCCATATATACCACAATTGCCATACTTTTATTGGAAATAACTACCTGATAAAAAGTTTTCTGAGAAAGAATCTTTAAGCGAAATAAGAACTTTAAATAAGTTTTTCATTTTTTCGTCTTTTCTTTCTATCAATGTTTTATCGTTTGGTAGGGCCTTTTAATAACCACATTTATTCACGTTAATATTTTCTTACGTGGTTTGAGTTGGCCTTTTTCAAAAACATTCATCGGTTAAATCAAATATGCAAAAATACTTACCCGTAAAATATAATAAAGATAATATTTGTTAACCAAAATATGTTTATGATATGATGACGGTCTGAAAAGTTCTAAGCCTAGATCAGGATAGATCAATTGGGTTGAAACAAACGTTTGCCACCAACAGGTATCATCATTGAATGAATCATAGACATAAGAACTGCAACTATAGTATTATTATTGTCTTCGTACCAGACCATCTTGTGAACCTATCAATTGAAATACTACAAAACTGGCTATAGGACAGTTATCAAGTACCAGCAACTGAAAGGACTAACCCCAACACATGGTCTCCACTTTAGGGGTTGATGCCTCTTTAATTTAAGCATGACTGAGAGAGCCTTGACGATGAAGGAAACATTACTTGGGTGCATGGTTGATCAACGATTGGTCTTCTAAATAAATAAATAACAATCATATTGAGTAGTCGTTTATTTTAATTTGGCCCGAGTGGTCTTCTAATCGTGGTCAGAATGCTCTTCTAATCTCGGCCCGAGTGATCTTCTTATCTTAGTCCCAATGCTCTTCTAATCTCGGCCGGAGTGGTCTTCTAATCAAGGTCCGAGTGGTCTTGGTCCAAATGGGCTTCAGTCTTGGCCCGAGTGGTCTTGTTCGGAGTGGTCTTCTGTCTTAGTGGTGACGTACTTGTCTTGGTGCGAATTGTCTTCTATTATTGGTCTGAATGGTCTTCTAAGCTTGGTCCGAATGGTCTTCAAATGTTGGTCCGATGTCTGGCTGTTTCATTTGCCTCTCTTTATCACCCAAAACAAGCAAATCATAACCCAGTACTACCAAATACTTATCAAATATTATAAAATACAAACCTAATATCGTCAAATAGCAGCACATTAGTATAATAACTGCAACAAATGTTCGATAATTTGATGAAAATTGAAATATTTACGCAGTTATCTCCCTTTACAACCGATAAATATTGTTACCGATGTAAAATAAAGTGATCTATATGTCTGCTCAGTTTGGATAAGTTGACTCTTCGCATCAATGAGATATTAAGTACTGAAATTGGTGGTAAAAAAAAACAAGTGAAACTACAGATTTTTTTACCATTTTCAACACCGGAAAAGCCATCTCAGCATTTCCATGGGTGGATCAATTACTCTAACATTTTATATACGTATGTTTAGGCACTAGGTAAGCCAATAGACAAAAATGGATGAAATCCCAAAATTGAGCCTATCACTTCCTGTATGGTCTTATCGCGGACACATCCTTAATTATGACTTTTTTTCTGATTTTTCTATCCATGTACCCGAGTTAAAGGAATCACAGAGTTCTAATCACCAACATGCTACTGTCTGTACTTACCAGATGTATCAGGTTTAGCCGCTTCTTCAATATTGGTATTCGCTTTATTTTCAGTGTCTGTTTCTGTTTTTATTCTGTCACTTTGATCTGTCTGTACCATTGTATCATGGCTGGGGTCATCTTCAATATAAAATGATTCAATTACAAAATGAACTGTGGTAAGTTAGTAATTGACTACAAAAGTGTTTCATAATATCAAAGCAGAACTAGATTAAATACCAATGTTATTTAACAATTTATTGATCTGATTTTGTTTTCATTTGAACACTCAACAATTTGCAAAAAGGTATCTTTGACACTGCAGTATGTAGAACAGGCCAGGGTTAATTGTGATGTCAGTGGAAATGAAATATAATCATTACACAGTTTGAAGTATTGGAAATCTAATGGATAATAGGACATTAATAAGTAATGAGTAACTGAAAGATTACATTTCAAATATTATTATGTAATGGTCAACTATATTTCAATCCTTTTATCGCAAATTTGAATATTATATATCTGATAAAGTCAAATATTATGTAATGGTCAACTACTCAATCTTTTTATTTCAAATTTGAATAATAACTATGTATATTTAATCCAGCAGATTAACAAAAATCACAAAATTTAAATCAGTTTTACGAATAAAAACGACGTTTTAGAATTTTGTTTTTATGTTAAACTTCACCTAAAACATGTAAGTTTAAAATGTTGTTTTTAAATTAAACTCCATCTAAGACATGTAAGTTTAAACTGATATAGATTTTAATCAAATTCCGAATTTGGATAAACAAGAGAACGTTAACATTGAAAACTCAAAACAAATGAATGCATGACAACTCAGGCCAAATACCACTCAGACCAAAACCGGCCGGATCAGTTAATAGATCACTCGGACCAAGATAGAAGATCACTCGGACCAAGACCGTATATCACTTGTACCAAGGCAGAAGATCGCTCGGACCAAGATAGAAGACCACTCGGACCAAGATAGAAGACCACTCCGACCAATGTTTTTGAAATAATACAGTGTTGTTTTAATAAATTGATAATAGTGTTTGTTTTAATATTAAAGTGTTATTTTAATAAATTGATATTTATGTTTGTTTTTCTACATTTGTTTTCTTTTTAACTGTCTTATCATCTCATCATGAAGCATAGAAAAAAATCTCAACGAGTCATCAACAACTGAATAGTTATTAATTCGTATACTTGTATTTCGGAAAAGACTATTCTTTGTGTGTACTATATTTATCATTTGTACCGCCTTTTATTGCAAGCTTGTCGTGGAATGCGTGTCAAAGTTCAGTTTACGTTTTATCATTAAAATCGGTAGGGACTTTGAATAATCGTGCATGTCGTGTAAATATTTTCAATTAAATTCATCAACATATCATTCCGTTTTTAATAATATTGTACTTTTACCAGAATCTATGATTACCAAAGAACACAGGGCTGGATTAACCATTAAAGATACCTTCCCTGTACAAACTGTGTGATTTGATGATATATTTGGACTAAAAACTTATTCAAACTAATTAATCTATCATAATTGTGCTTTAAATCCTTCTCAAAACATTGTATTCGCGAGAAAATACCCCAAGATTTAAAAATCTATTAAATTAAGTCATGTTGGTGTCACGTGACCTTGCATATACAAGACGATGTGGTCTTTAATCGCTGTCCATTTATCATAAATATTGAAGCCTAATTAAATTCTCGGATTATCCACTGTCCACGTCTTTTCCCGCGATTTTTATCTCAGAAAATGTTGTATGTTTAAGTTTCTCACTTTTTACTAGTCCGCTCACCATCAAGTTTATCAACATATACATCAAGCGCTCACTAACGCTGAGAGATCCGACAATCTTCGCGTTCAACCTTTGACGCCACCCGGGTTGCCTGTTAGGGAAACCCTTCTTTTTTTGTCCCGTATGCGCTCCATGGGTGTTTTTCAGGAAATCCAGTATTTTTCTAGTAAGATTGGATGTTTCTACTTTCCATATATACCACAATTGCCATACTTTTATTGGAAATAACTACCTGATAAAAAGTTTTCTGAGAAAGTATCTTTAAGCGAAATAAGAATTTTAAATAAGTTTTTCATTTTTTCGTCTTTTCTTTCTATCAATGTTTTATCGTTTGGTAGGGCCTTTTAATAATCACGTTATTCACGTTAATATTTTCTTACGTGGTTTGAGTTGGCCTTTTTCAAAAACATTCATCGGTTAAATCAAATATGCAAAAATACTTACCCGTAAAATATAATAAAGATACTATTTGTTAATCAAAATATTAGGTTGAGTGGTCTTATAAGTTTATGATATGATGACGGTCTGAAAAGTTCTAAGCCTAGATCAGAATAGATCAATTGGGTTGAAACAAACGTTTGCCACCAACAAGTACCATCATTGAATGAATCATAGACATAAGAACTACAACTATAGTGTTATTATTGTCTTCGTACCAGACCATCTTGTGAACCTATCAATTGAAATACTACAAAACTGGCTATAGGACAGTTATCAAGTACCAGCAACTGAAAGGACTAACCCCAACACATGGTCTCCACTTTAGGGGTTGATGCCTCTTTAATTTAAGCATGACTGAGAGAGCCTTGACGATGAAGGCCATCAACAACAAAAATTCAAGAAAACAGTACTTGGGTGCATGGCTGATCAACGATTGGTCTTTTAAATAAATAAATAACAATATATTGAGTAGTCATTTATTTTAATTTGGCCCGAGTGGTCTTCTAATCGTGGTCGGGATGCTCTTCTAATCTCGGCCCGAGTGATCTTCTTATCTTAGTCCCAATGCTCTTCTAATCTCGGCCTGAGTGGTTTTCTTATCTTGGTCCGAGTGGTCTTCTAATCAAGGTCTGAGTGGTCTTGGTCCAAATGGGTTTCTGTCTTGTTCGGAGTGGTCTTCTGTCTTAGTGGTGACGTACTTGTCTTGGTGCGAATTGTCTTCTATTATTGGTCCGAATGGTCTTCTAAGCTTGGTCCGAATGGTCTTCAAATGTTGGTCCGATGTCTGGCTGTTTCATTTGCCTCTCTATATCACCCAAAACAAGCAAATCATAACCCAGTACTACCAAATACTTATCAAATATTATAAAATACAAACCTAATATCGTCAAATAGCAGCACATTAGTATAATAACTGCAACAAATGTTCGATAATTTGATGAAAATTGAAATATTTACGCAGTTATCTCCCTTTACAACCGATAAATATTGTTACCGATGTAAAATAAAGTGATCTATATGTCTGCTCAGTTTGGATAAGTTGACTCTTCGCATCAATGAGATATTAAGTACTGAAATTGGTGGTAAAAAAAACAAGTGAAACTACAGATTTTTTTACCATTTTCAACACCGGAAAAGCCATCTCAGCATTTCCATGGGTGGATCAATTACTCTAACATTTTATATACGTATGTTTAGGCACTAGGTACAATGTAAGCCAATAGACAAAAATGGATGAAATCCCAAAATTGAGCCTTATCACTTCCTGTATGGTCTTATTGCGGACACATCCTTAATTATGACTTTTTTTCTGATTTTTCAATCCATGTACCCGAGTTAAAGGAATCACAGAGTTCTAATCACCAACATGCTACTGTCTGTACTTACCAGATATATCGGGTTTAGCCGCTTCTTCAATATTGGTATTCGCTTTATTTTCAGTGTCTGTTTCTGTTTTTATTCTGTCACTTTGATCTGTCTGTACCATTGTATCATGGCTGGGGTCATCTTCAATATAAAATGATTCAATTACAAAATGAACTGTGGTAAGTTAGTAATTGACTACAAAAGTGTTTCATAATACCAGCGGAACTAGATTAAATACCAACGTTATTTAACAATTTATTGATCTGATTTCGTTTTCATTTGAACACTCAACAATTTGCAAAAAGGTATCTTCGAAACTGCAGTATGTGGAACAGACCAGGGTTAATTGTGATGTCAGTGGAAATGAAATATCATCATTACACAGTTTGAAGTATTGCAAATCTAATGGATAATAGGACATTAATAAGTAATGAGTAACTGAAAGATTACATTTCAAACATTATTATGTAATGGTCAACTATATTTCAATCCTTTTATTTGAATATTATATATCTGACAAAAGTCAAATATTATGTAATGGTCAACTATATCTCAATCTTTTTATTTCAAATTTGAATAATAACTTTATATATTTAATCCAGCAGATTAACAAAAATCACAAAATTTAAATCAGTTTTACGAATAAAAACGACGTTTTAGAATTTTGTTTTTATATTAAACTTCACCTAAAACATGTAAGTTTAAACAATTACAAACAAAAATGTTGTTTTTAAATTAAACTCCATCTAAGACATGTAAGTTTAAACAAGGTGGCTATTTGAACTGATATAGATTTTAATCAAAGATCAGTAATACTTAGTACTAATTGTATTCAATAGAAGTATGTCCTTTGTATTTCTTGTTCACTTACTAAATCCCATAGAAACAATTTAATTCTAGTTCACATATTCAAAAAAAACCCCATACCATTAGAGATAAAAGTTCACATATTCATTTTTTTCAGAATTAAAATCGTTTCTCGACACAAACTAGGTCATTTCGGGGATATATTTCAATAATTCGCCTGCGCGTATAGAGGTCTTTAGCAGTGGGAGGAAACCGGAGATCGCATTTATTCATTTAGATGGTAATGACATCACAGCGACATCGTCACCTGTGAATATATACCAGACAATTTGTTCAATAGTGACATTATTCGAAGCATCGGTGAAAATTTGAGAAGAGGAAATTTTTCAAAGTCGTCTGGATTGATTGACACAGGTGTTTTATTTGATAATATTGAGTAGTATTTGGTAGTACCGGGTTATTATTTGCTTGTTTTGGGTAATAGGGGAGGGGGGGGGATGGAACAGCCACAGACATCGGTTATAGCATTGGAGGTACATGTCCTGCGATATAACTCGCTATTTTCTAAAGAAATCAAGTAGGCTAATATGCTTATTTTGCACCATTATGTTGTAGCACATGTATGTGGTGATATTGGGGTGGTATTGGTAGTATTGGGTAAATCTTCCCACCTGTGAGGAGGTTATTCAAATTAAATATAATTTGTTTCACTAATTTAAATAATTCGCTCATCAATTTCAAACAGATTGGCTGATGAGTATTTTCGTCACCAGAGTAGTCTTAAGGTTCCACGAAGTGAAACAAGAGTCATAACTCTGGAAATAATTCATGGACATTGCTGAAATTCCATAGGCTTGTTCGTCTCACTAATTTGAATAAAGCATATATATATGGCCTACATATTTTTGGCAGATTGGACAATAACTTTTCTCGTTAGCACCTAATCAATTAATCAATCAATTGCTTTATTGTAAAAAAAAATATGGTTGTCTTTTAACTGAGTTTGTGGGTTTCAGAAATGAATGCACATCCTGCTTTGTGTATGACATCTATCACATGATATCTTGCTAGATATTATAATACATATGTAAGTGGTGATGATTTTAAACTTACCTTGTGTTGTGTTCATGGTTTCCATGGTAGTTCCACTCTTTAAATGGTTAATAACAATGATGTAGGCCTTCTTGTTGTTTGTTTTATGTAATATATCCATTAGTGTATCCATTGTATTGATTGAGGCTTCTGATGAAACTATATCCTCTTTGTCTTTTTCATTCAAACAGCCATCTTGTAAAAGAAGATTACATAGCTTTACGAAATCTATGTTTCGAATATCTACCGTCTGTTTTAATTTTTCCACTTCAAAGATTTGTTGTTGTGAATCTGTCGCAGTCTTCAAATCTATCTCTTGTCCTGGTGGATCAGCATGAGTCACTTTGGCGATTTGTGGTTGTTGATCTGTCACAGAGTTGACATCTTTTTCTTGATCCGATGGCTTCCACTTCTTGAGTTCTTCCCGCAATGCTTTACGCTCCTTTTCACTTTGGTCAAATTTCTTCTCCAGCTCAGTTTCTCTTTGGTCAAATTTCTTCTCTCGCGCCTTAAATTCCTTCTCTCGCTTCTTAAATGTCTCCTCATTTTCTTCTTTCAGCCGGAGTTGTTGTTTGAGTTCTTTTTCTTGTTCTTCTTGTTGTTTGAGTTCTCTTTCTTTCAGCTTGAGTTGTTGTTTAAAATCTCTTTCTTGCAGCTCAAGGTGTTGTTTAAGTTCCCGCTCTACTTTAGTTTTCTCTTCTTCTAGCTTCTGGAGCTTGTCTTGGTATAACTTCTTAGCTTCCTCGAACATTGTATTTCTGTAGTGGTCGCCGTTATTGTTTCTTTTTGTTTCCAGCAAGAGTCTTAAAATACCATGAACATCATCAGGCTGAGGGTTTTCGTTGTTGATAAGAGAATGTCGATTATCACAGTAATCTTCCAGGAATTCTTTAAATTCTGGATTTGCATCTTTATAATATTCTGTAAATGACCTTTTTTGAAGTGCATCTTTTTTTGTAAAAATAATCACACCATATGTTTTTAGGCACTCCCCAAATAAATCTGTGTATTGTTCTATGGTTTCCAAAACATGTCTATCAATCCTACCAATAGGTAACACAAACGAAAATATATGGGGTCCTGGTGCCAGACCATCTATACTTTTGGCAAGCTCCATTGTTACGTCTTGGTGTGAAATTTTGGTATCAGATAACCCCGGAGTATCAAGTATTCTGAAAAGATACTTTTCACCGTCTACCTCTCTGACACGATGTTTGCATGAGTTAAACCGTGTAACCGAGGCAGCGCTTGATTCAGATTTAAATCTAGTATCTTTTGATAAATCCAATATACTATTCCCCAGGGCACTTTTACCAACACCAGTTTTCCCAATTAATATTACACGCACTTCCGCTTCTGAAATTGAGAGGAAATATCATAGGCGTGTTGACGTCTCGGAAGTAGGGTAGGCAGACCAAACTCAGGGGGTAGGTGAGGGATGAAACTGTGGCACATATTAGATTTGATCTGAGGTATAGCTGAGCCATGGCGCACCATACTTTGACACTTGGTTGAGGGATTATGATTAAGGTCTGAAGATCTGAACATGGACATAGTAACCACCAAGTACTTAACGACCTGGTTGGAACAAGGAAAGGGCAACGGGAAAAGAGGGCACAATATTATCATTGGGGCAATGGGAATATGATAACATTGGTGTTGGCATTCGAAATTCGGGGACACTTTTTCGGAAGGAAGGGCACATAGCCACACACCCCTATACCCTGGTTAGAACTCTCATCGGATTCTAGTTTTATCAACCCTTTTCGGCTTCTTTCGTTGTTTTATTTATGAGGGCATCTAGCATAAATACATAAATACAAATAATATGTTTATAAATTCACATTTTTTATCCATAGGAACTAATCAGTTCTTGTGGGCAATACAAATATGGTGATAAACTGTCAATTGCCTTCAATGGGTTTTAACGTCCTACTTTTCTCTACCGACTGGGTTAATGAAGACAGCTAGTAATTCGGCATTAACACAATAAATAACTGAATTCAACATATGGGGCCATCGCGGTATTAAAATAAAGGACTATATTAACATGTCGGTGTATTAAAATAAAGGACTGTATTAACACGTGGGTGTATTAAAATAAAGGACTATATTAACACGTGGTTATATTAAAATAAAGGACTATATTAACACGTGGGTGTATTAAATTAAAGGACTATATTAACATGTGAGTATATTAAAATAAAGGACTATATTAACACGTCGGTGTATTAAAATAAAGGACTATATTAACATGTGAGTATATTAAAATAAAGGACTATATTAGCATGTGGGTGTATTAAAATAAAGGACTATATTAGCATGTGGGTGTATTAAAATAAAGGACTATATTAACAAGTGGGTGTAAAGGACTATATTAACATGTGGGTGTATTAAAATATGCATGTGTTAAGAAACAAATCCATTCATATTTATGAACATGTAGAATAATAGTACAGAATTTTAGTACAAATCCCACATAATGGGACTGAAGTATAATCTTTAAAATATTTATTTCCAGTATCTGTAATCCATCAGTCAGATTGGAAATACAAAACAAAGCTTCTAAACAAATGCTTTCTTAGAACAAATATTGAACTTACTGACAATTTCTAGGTTAGCTGGAAGTGAATCACTCATTCCGTCATTAACTGTAACTGTTAGAGTCACACAATTACAGGTAAACACAGGATCTGACGTAACATGTACACGTAATTCATTGTCTACAATGTAAAATATTAATCTATATATAGTAACAAGTATTTATCAATCACTCTAGTATCATTTGATTGTAGGACAGAAACAGCTAAATTGTACCAAATAAACCGACAGATATCAATCCAATATATATCGGTTGAACGTAAATCAAGAAATGTATATATATAGTATCTATTTCTTACAGCATTTTTTTTACTCGAATTATATTCATCGGTCTCAAAAAGTCTAGAAAACCAAATTGATAAGTTGGAAGTTGAAAGTTCTTATACACAGTCAACAGTTTACATATAGCATCTAAAGTCAAATAATTAGTTATTTTTGCCTTTATTTATTCAAACAACCATTAAGAGCCCTGCAAAGAATTAGGGACACTTGTTTGACATTTCCATAGAAATAATAAATTAAGCACAAATTCTGAGGCCCTCATTTTGATAATCTTTCCAAATATTTTAATCGTATACATACGTTCAGGATAGAGAATGAAATATTGTTCAGCTTCTTCGGGATGCCAACTCGATTTAAATTTGAGTGGTTGATTAGTGGATGTTTCACCAGTTACAGTAAATATAAGCCCTTTACGTCCTTCTATTGCTACAGCATCCGGTAAATTGGTGATTTTACATGTTCTATTTACTGTAATATATAAATGTTTAGATAACTCCTAAAAACAAAAGCTAACTAAGGGCATTAACTACGTCGTCTTGTACATTATATGTTTGGAACAATCAAAGTATTTATGGCATTAAAAGAAGTTATTTCTTGAAGATTTAACACTGTTACAGTATCTCTATAAATTAGACCGTTAAAAACATCGTCGTCATGTGCTATTTTTCTATAAACTTGTCGGTGAACAGATCAGTCATTTTTAAAAATGTATATTTCCATTCTAGTATATCACTGCTTTCTTTATTTGTTATCATTCTGGAGTTACGTACTGAATTGTACTTAAGCAAAGTAAAGTCTGTTTGGTCATTGACTGGATTTGAAATGTTTAAATTCAAAGTAGCGGATTATTATTATTACTCAACTTTTACATAATAATGTACCCAGATGATCTTTACGGAAAATTAATACCACAATAATATATCTCAAAATAAAATATTGCCTTAAATCAGGATAATATATAAAGGAGGGGGGGGAGGGTCATGCCCCATGGCTAACCAGGTGCGGCGTAGGCTCAGTAAAAAAGATTCTGACCGGGCCAAATTTCCTTCACAGTACACTGTATCAGGTATGTCCGTCTTCAATAGCTCAGAAAAGTAAGGTGTCGAATCCCATTTCATTTCGTTTAAATTTATTGCACGCTTATAACCAGATTGTTACAAAAGTCATACCATAGACTTTTTATCTGGTTGTGCCAATATGCAAAACTAACTATTACGAAATTGTAAATCAGGGCTTTTTCGCTTACATTTTGCCATCATTGTGTTGTAGATAATCAGTACCATTTATAGATTTAGTCTACGTAGTTAATACTTGTTTAATTCGTATTAATCAAATGCATGTGATCATGTTTTGGTTTATCTGCACCATATTGTTATTAATGGTATATCAACACCACGATGCCATTATTAATTTATATTGTCATAATGGTTTATCATTATTATTGCCTAACATTGACAACAATAATCACCGTGCCTGGTATGAATGTGGACCACGTGCATATGTATTCTTATAAATAACTATATTTTAATTATATTTATAACCCTTGACCATGGTTTTTCACAACATGTGAAAGCTAACAGTAAAGCCTGTGTGAAAGATATACACCCCGGCTTAAAAACAGTCCGACTCGAAAATTCCTTGCCATTTCTTCAATTATTAATTAAAATGGCTAAAACGTAATGACATACCTGGAATTGTCAGCCCTTTGCTTTCTTCATCTATTAGTGAGTGATCATATGTATCATCAGTATCTGTAATAGAAACATACATATTAGTAAGTTCAGAACCGTACCATGTAAACAAAGATAGGTTGCCAGATAACGAAACATACCTAAAATATTTGAAACTGATTACCAGTGACAACCCCATTTTAAGCAATTATCAGAAATCATTACAATTTGTTTAGCTTCTAGTTATGCCCCATGACAACGTTTCGAACAAAACATTAACTATTGTAAATTAAAAAGCTTTTCAGGTTTTGAATGAACTTCGTCTCGAAAACATGCACAACATTGTTCAAAAGTTTCAAGGACAATAACTCTGCCAGTAATTATTGAATAACCTTTTAAACATTGTATATAAATTTTAAATCAAATGGATATTAACTGTAGCCTCTAGAAAGTCCACAAAATTTTTCAAAGGGCCATAATTAACGTAGTAATTATCGAATAGTCTTCTTCATCTCATAACTTTAAACACCGTGTATAAATCTAGTTCAATCAGCTAAATATTCTCTGGAGCTTGTGAACGGACAGAAAATTATCATTATGGAAGGCGAAATATGTTGCCAAAATCAACAGACGAACAGATGCATTTAATACTCTCCGCTTTTTACATGGTATTTAGTTATGAAAAAGCCAACTGAAATATGTAAATAATCGTATCAAATGTACATTGTGCTATTTTACTTACCTGATGCTAATTGTTCGGCTACTGCTCTATATTCTAATTTATTTAAACAGTGGATGAATTTAGAATATGCATTTGTACCACAAGTCCGAAGAGTATCTAGAAATTTACGTATCATTGCCTTGGTACCCTCAGATTTCGCTCTGTTGATTACTTCCAAGTCATCTTCATTTAGTACAAATTTTTCAGTTAAACTGTCTAATAATGGTTGTAGAGGTCTCAGATTCTCGATTAAATACACATAGTTAGATATTATCCTATGTTCATCTTCAGGTAACATCTTCCCCTTCTCTCTTCTAGGTATAACGTTTCTCCTCTCAGCATTGGGTGAGCTCTCTTGGTATTCTACTGAGAAAATAAACACCACAATATTATACCTGTGTCTATAATAACAATATTATAACAACAAGGTTTGTTTATCAGTCGTTAAGATAATAACGATTACTATTAACAAACTAAAATTCAATTAATTATGTTTGCAGTGTAATGCCTATTTTTCGAGATATTATCCCTGAAGTTATGACATCGTATTTCTGATGTTACCATGTCATATAATCTTAATGTTAATTTCTGGAAAACATCAATCTATAATAGTGTTGCAGTGAACAAGGGTTGCAGCATATTTGTTGTCTGTGTCGGCAATTACAACACACTTAAATCTGTTTAACAGCAACATCCCATTAAACATGCATTATGCAAGAGCTAATCGACAAAACCATAATCAACTATCGATGACATCATATTGGTCCTATTTTCAGTAAATTAAATCTTAAAATGGCGAAGGAAGGGTAAGCCTCGAACAACCTGTGTGGTGGCTACAACCTCTGCACACATCTTGTCAAACATTCAAAGGCTAATATCTTCGCCCAGAATAAAGTAATTTGAATGAAAATTTCAATATATTCATTTTTTAACTATTATAGTGACGACGTCCAGTTCTTTATCTAAATCTTACATAATGACCTTCATTGGCATTTAGTTCTGCCCCATGCTAACGTTTAATATACACATTTAATTTCACGAATTTAGCTATTCAAGTTATCAATGGCTCTTTTCTAGGAGAGATTTCACGTCATTTTTGCAAAGTGATCAAGGACCATAACTCTGGTAGTAATTATCAAAATCGTTGCAAATTGTATGACCTAAACATGAACTCAGTTGGATATTAACTTCAGTCTCTTGAGCGTCCATATGATTTGCCATAGTGATCAATGGCCAATGGCCATAACTCTGGCAGTAATTATCGGAAATTGTTGAAATAGTCTAAATTTGAAGTCAATCGGATATTTACCGCCTATAGAAGCCTCAATACTCTAGAGCGTCCACCAGCAATTGTGAGCGAATGGACCAACGGACGGGGAAGACGACAATATACGACCACATTTGAATGTAGTATGTATGTAGTACAAACTGAATACAACAGCCTTTTTAGTTTACAAAAAACAAAAATAGGCTGCGATTTGAAAATATGAAACATACGCCCACAGCAGTTAAATCATCCGAGAAGTCAGCAAGGGTTGACGCATATGTATTCTTTTGTAGGTAATGGGAGAATTTACAAGCCACTGAATTCATTTTCTGCAAATCTAATGATAACTTCTGCCGTTAGATCATTTACAGGGTTCATCAAAGTGAAACAAGGGTCATAACTGTAAGGCATTAACGGACATTGGTGAAATTCAAAACTCTTCTTCGTTTTACTAATTTAAATAAAGCATGTAAATTTAATATAGATCGGAAGATAACTTAAGTCTTTAGAGCATTCACAAGTTTCAACAAAGTGAAACACGTGCCATAACTCTAAGAGTTATAAACAGAAATTGCTTAAATGCGATAGGCATCTTCGTTTTACAAATTGAAATAGTACATGTAAATTAAATACAGATCGGATGATAACTTTAGTTGTTAGAGCTTTCACAGGGTTCAATAAAGCGACACACGAACGGACTGATGGACGGATGACAATACGACCACATTTTCATGTGGGTGAAGTGGGTGTATTAAAATTATATACAAGAAAGGGGACTAGAAAGCCATTTTATGGTGATTCAATAAAAAGCACATTGTTCATCAGAAATTACCCTTTTGTGGTATATTCATTTCTGCCATGTCATCTCTGGCCATGCGACCTTGTTTACTTCTCTTCTTGCTTGTCGCTTCCTGCGAGTACGCCATGATTATCTGGTTATCTGAAACTGTACAAAGCAAACAAACATTTCGCTATATCTTCCAACATTTAACAAGAGATGAAAGGCAGAATCGATATTTCTCGTCCCCTGGTTATCAAAATGCTTGACATTGAATTCTTAAAATCACAGGCAGGACTGGGGAGATGGTGGGGTATCTCTGAAATGGAAGGTGATGGGTATGACATTTCTGATATGTTCTCAATGCTTCAAATTAAATTCCAGAAAACTTTGCGTTCAGAATGTTTTCAGTAAGGAGAGGTAACTATGGCCAGGAAGAATTAGAGCATAGTCATATTGATAACACAGCATAGCATTAGTATCACATACTTTTACACTATTTGCGTACGAGGAGCGCCCATCCGACAGTTTCGTCCGATTTTTACGAAATTCGAACCAATGTAATGGTGATATATTGAAACGTTTTATGAAATCGGATAAAAATTGTGACCTCTAGAGGATCTACATGCTAAAACAGAGATTTTTCGTAAAATCAGGGGCCATAATCAAGGAACGTAGCGTCTGATATGCGAAAATATAGAAAAGCGCCAAGGTCTGAGAGATATAAACATATATTTTAAGTTTCATCAAAATGGGATAACAAATGCGACTTCTAGAGTCTATAGTGTCCACAGCCTTCGAATTGCATACTTTTACACTATTTGCGTACAAGGAGCGGCCGTTTTTTCCGGCAGTTTCGGTCCAACTATCACGAATTCGAACTCAGTCATCATTACGGTGTAACGTTTTTTAAAATAGGATCAAAAATTGCGACTTTTACGAATACAAGCTAAAAACGTGTTTTTTTCCCGTAAAATTTGGAGACATAATCCAGGATGTTTCATCAAAATCAGATAAAAATTGTGACCTCTAGAGTGTTCACAATTTTGGAATTCCATACTTTTACACCATAGCTGTCATTTTGTCTGGCAATTTCGGTCCGATTTTCCCAAAATTCGAACCTGGGCATCATTAGGGTGTAACGGTGATATATTAAAACGGTTTTTAAAAATTTGAATAAAAATTGCGATTTTGGGTGGAAATTCAACAGAATAGAAATTATATTAAAATTTACCATCATTTAGGTGCATCGGTGATATACTAACCGGATTTTTAAATCTGATAAAAATTGTGAACTCTAGACGGTTCACAAGCTAAAAACGCGATTTTTCGTACAAGCGAGGCTAGATAAAATGACCTCACACGTACGCTGGGTGGAAATTCAACAGAATAGAAATCATATTAAAATTTACTTGAGTGATAATTATAAACCACTCGGGTGAATATTATAAAAAATAAAATAAGTGAAAAATGGTTCGGGTGGGAATTCAAATGTTCTCGGATGATAATTCAAGAATAAATTAAAAATAACTTGGGTGAAAATTAGAAGAAAAAAATTTATATTGAAAATTACTTAGGTGAAAATTAAAATTGACTGGGATGAAAATTATCGAAAAGAAATTATATTAAAATTGGCTAGAGTGACAATTAAGAAAAAGAAATTATATCAAAAAATTAAAATTAAAATAACAAAAAGCAAACTTTAACAAAATTGAAAATTATTTTTCCTATCCCTTATCGGCCACCGTATAGGTGAGTTTTACAAAATGATTTTAAGCATTTTAGATAAAATCTACTAAAATAATATGAATCTAACTCCAAACTTAATAAAATCAAAGTTCATAAATAATATTTTATTCAATAAAAATTGTGTCATTTTGATGAACACGTTTAAAGTGTTAAATTTTTCCAAGAGAATACACGTTTCTTTAGCAAGACATTAAACCCCATTTGATTTCCTTTCATTTGTTTTAACCAGTATATAACGGTAAGTTTAATAACTGAAGATATCGAATATCATAATCTTGACCTCTCGCCGCGAGAAGTCGAGGGCGATTGTGCAAGTGTTGGAGGAACATGGCCGGATTAAGCTGTTCCATAGTACATGAATAGGGTAATTCCCCCGTTTCCACGACCGTTAAGCGGATTGGATGATATAATATGAGTCATTACTTGTTATTAATACACCCATACAAACAGGACACTGACTGACGACTTTATATGATGTTTTGTTGTAACACTAAAGCAGAATACTTAATATTGACAACTATTCAGCGACTTATAGAGGACGATTTCTCACACCATGATTAATAAAAGGTCAAAATTAGCCTCTTTACACCAGTGTTATTAGTAATACATTCATTTATGGAATAGGACCCCTCGGCTATTGTAATGAATGATATAATTCTTAATCAAAACAATGTAAACATTTTTTTCATTTGTTATTTAATTTTAATAAATTATTTTCTTTTTACTTGTGCCATTTTTCCGTGTGTCTCAATTTTACATCTTACCATTATTATTTGTGTTATTTTTTCCCCTTAATATTAAATATTCCTATGCCGTTATTACTTATATACACTAACAGCAGATATTCATTTCAGGATAAAAAATGTTAATCTATTATTTTCAATTTTTGTGGCAGAGAAGCTGTAATATGAATTCTGAAATAACAAAATGTTGTTGCTATTGCGTGGAAAAAATAAAATCATATGATGGCAAAGGAATTGTAAGATGTCACCCCTTGTTTATTTAATATAATTTTGACTATGGATTTTAAAAATATTTGGAAATCAGTCAGTTGTATTCAGAATGTTGTACTATTTACTTTAAATCTTTATGAATAACAAACTGTATCACGCCCTTTGGTAAAAGAAAATACATAAAATCTAATATAGAGTCCATGATAAAATAATAAAAGTATGAGCAGTATTTACACAACCAATATGTCTTTGCAATGGCGCATTACAATATTCAAATTTAAATACTGTTCAGATAATTTTTTTGTGCGTTCTTTTTAATCCTAATATGTAATTTCAAAGCCCTTTTCTACATACATTCATCTAGACCTATATTCCCCTTTTTTTTTTTTTTTTAACTTTTAGGACCTTTATATAAAAATCCCATTTTGTTTTTCTTTTTTTTTTTTTTTTACTATTTAGTATTTTAGAGACAAAAGGGTCAAGATACATAGAACAGTTATTTTATGTGGTCTTATATAATATGATCTTCATAGTCTGTAATACTAGAGTCTACGTATATATATATATATAAAGATTTGCATTAAATGCCAAGTTGTATTTTTGCTAGTAAGTTTAGAAAAGTTTAAAGATATAGAAGTTAATTTATTTGGGGGGTGGGATCGAATATTTTCTTAGTAGTCTGTAATATGGAATCTGCATACTATTTCAATAAAAACCTTTCACTGCACGGGCCTATATCATATTTTCGTCTTTAAAAAAACTACTGTTATAGGCCGAGATCATATTCTTTAAAAATACTACTGATATTATTTTTTTATAACCTAGTTTCTCCTTTTCAATTCTGTGTTTTCAGTTTTAATTTCAGAGAAAATAGCACAAATTTGTCTTTTTTAAAATATAAGATTGTATTATTTAACTATATTTTACAAGCCTGTATCAAATATTCTTCTTTACAATTTAAAATTCATCATTTCAGTGTTCATTAAATACAAAACAGTCCAAATTTATTTTTTTAAAATATATAGGCCTCACACCATTTTCTTCTTTTACTTTTGAGTAATTTTACAGTTAATTTTAGAGGAAAAAAAACCCTCAAGATGTGTTATTCAGTTATTTTTTTTTTCTTTCGTCTTGTGGTCAGTATAATCTGTAATTTTAGGCTCTTTCATTTTGTTTTGTTTTTTTAAAAAAAGGCTATTCACATGCCTATGTTTGCGTCCAATTTCTAGTAATTTTAGAAAAGTTCAAAGATATATACATGTAAGTTAGTTTTTGTGGGTCTTATATTATCTTTCTTTAATTATGGGGTCTGTATATTGTTTAATTAACACCTTTCATTGCATAGGCGTATATCTTTTTTTCTTTTTTAAAAAAAATTACTTATATTATAGGCCTATATTAGATTTTGTTTTTAAAAAAATACTTATAGTGTGGGTCTATATCCTATTAATTTTAACAAAAAAACACTGTACGGATTAATACAATTAACTAGAATAGTATTGACGTAAAACGGTGCCTATACGAAACAATTACACAAAAATGGAAATTGTCCCGCCCTAATAGCTGACGCATTATACTTCTAACAACAATGGCCGACTGAGGTGGACGTGTTGAGTCAATCTCCTTCCGTTTAAATAGAGTTATATTTCAGATGATTTATCAAAACTTCCTGAGTAAATTGAGTATGTACTAAATTAATTTTTAATGTGTTAACTGTGACAAACATATGCAAAAAGGGAGACTTTTCGTTGACTTATAAAATCGTCTGTATAATACATGTATCTGGGAAAACAGTTCACGCGAGTTCACTCAGCTTATTTTTACAAGGCTAGACTGGTGTATAAGTTGTATATAAATACTAATGACGAAATCAAGACAACCAAAACGATCAAGAAGGGAGATGGCTTCAAATTCAAATCCAAATGATTCCAACAGTATAAACGATTTTCTAGATAATGTTCTAAAAGATGATGGGTCGTGACAGTCATTTATTGGTGAATTATTTAAACGCGAAGTCATAATGAGCCATATTGTTCACTTAATCCAACCAAAACTAACTCAAGATTTAGTTAGTCACCTCGACCATTTAGAAAATAAAATTGATGAACTTGAACAATATTCTAGACGAACATGCCTTAAATTCAGTGGTATCAGTGAGAGAGCTGGTGAAAATACAGATAATCTGATACTATAGATATTATAAATAACCATGTTTTAAACGATCGAGATGACCGTTTAACAATAAACCAAACAGGTCGTAACAAATAAAACAAAAATCTTTATTAATGAAGCCTTGACACACAGAAAATCTCAGCTGTATAAAAAAAACATGCGAACTCTTCAAACTGAAAAAATTAAAAACTGTTGGACATAGGGCAGCCGAATATATGTAAGAAATCTAGATGATGACAAGAACATATTAATTAATTGTGAAGATGACATAAATCAGTTTTATGACACGCCAAA